ACTTAACCCTATCGGTTATGCAGGGATCAGCTAACCGAACATAGGTCGGCCCCTATCGGTTTTCATACTAAAGCTACTTTTCCACAATCTCGTGTCCACTCTAGTACTGATTACCTCTTCCGGAGGTTTAGTCCGATGCTCATTTGTTATTCAAATATATTACTCTCTTCCACGGGTCCCAGTTAAATAATTCGCACCTGACAACTCCCCCGCAAGGCACTTTTCCCATCATGCGAAGCTCCGCGTGTGACGCATCTGCATCCAAAGAGTTGCCTGTGACAGGACGAGAGATCTTGTAGTTAGGTTATCTTAGGTCATTGTTCAGCTTATTACTGGCGATGGTGTATTTAACGTATAATGCAACAAAAGGGTATGAAGGTATGTATCGGTACAAACAGTACACCTGAAGTGCCCCCACCTCTTGGGATTCTCCACAGGTTCAGTCCAGCCGCATCTATGGGTAACGCATGTGGCAAGGACGACTCCTATGACGCAGGCCAAGGCCCGCATCCTGCGCGTGACTCAGCGGCCGGGCGGGGTTGCTCAGTGAAAAGGGGGGGATTGTTTCGTTGCATGCTTCATGCTCCGCGTATCTCGCTCTTTTTGTGTTTCATGTGTCGTCTGATGTGGGCTAATTGCGGATGCTCCGACCTGTGTGTAACCCAACTGTTGTGCAGAGCTTGATCCCCGCTGTGAGGCAAGGATCTAGTCAAGTTGTGACTCTCGCGACCATGCGCCTCTGATTCACAGCGTGTGTTGCCAAGTGTTGGATCTTGATGGATCTTGGCTAGGCTGCAAGCTGCACGCAGCGATCTGAGTCTTCGCCGGTATGATGCAGTGCTTGGAAGTTTGTCCCGAAGGCGTGTCCTTGGGAGAGGCCAATAGTGAGCGCTTGCAACACGCACACACACACACACACAGCGATCCACCAAGCCGATGTCACACCCGATTTATGCAGATTGGGATCAGCGTAGCGGTCATTATGCCGCGATCGAATCACGGCGGTTTCGTGTTGATTTGTTAGCAAGCTATGCCGAATCGCGAAACCAGCATCATGAAATCTGAGATGCGCAACTGCACTGCCAGAGCGAAGCCGGATATGCTTGCACCTCGTGTCCGGGTAGATGATGCCGCCTGCAAACGGGCCTCAAGCATTGGCAACCTATGTTCGGTAGGGTGACTGTTCAGGCCACAGGCTCTGGCAAAGATGCAGATTCCAACACTTCGTTTTGTTCCACCGGCTGGAGATGAGGGTCTCGCGCGTAGAAGCGCATTGACATGCAAATCGCAACCAGCTTAGCCTGATTCGTTCTTCTGCCAAGTTCTTGAGCGGCCCGCATTTTGCAGGCCCTCACTGACGAAAACTTTGCACGCAATTCAAGTAAAAGCTGCTGGGACAATGGCCGCTCAGATACCAATCAGTGGCTGCTTCAGCTCACACAACCGATTCAACTCTGGCAATTGTCCCAGAGTCGGCATAGCGAGACGTGCCATTTTGCTTTGGAGAGTTTTCTGCCGCCCCGGGCACTCAAGCAGCACAACTGAGTGCAGTTATGTTGAATCACGCAGTCATGGAAGCGTACGTGAAAGCCTGGCGGGATCCCTTTACACGTGCACCTTTAAGCGGGCGCCTCTCAAATGGCATCTTGTCCACACCTTGGCCACGGAGGACAGGTGAAGGTGCCAGAGCCAACTCCGCAATCACTCTCCCAAGGATGGACATCTCCATCTCCCAGACCAAGACTCCCAGCAAGCCAGGCTGGGAGCCAAGCTATGCCAGGCTGCTCGCGGGTCGCAGCTTGCGTTCACCTCATGTGGTCTTAGCACGAAGACGCAACAGTCAAAACTAAATACCTTGAAACCTATATTTCAGAAAGAGGCGCGCTCCTATTTCTTGTTCTCGACTTTGACAATCGGAGGATGACAGGCTGCTTGCACAAGCAGATTCTGCCGGGTGTTTTATCAGATATGCATCCTGTCTCTCTTAAGGACACTGTCGGCTTCAGCTGCGGCTCGTACAGATTCATGAAGTGTTCACTTGGCGTGAACGGCACAGACACATCAGAGACTGGAGATGGCAGTGTGATGAAACAGTTTGTTTGAGCCTCCGAGTCTGCGGCCATCCATCGAGCTTTCCGGCCTGTTGGCCGTAGTCCCCATGGAGTGTGGCCTGTTGCTGCAAGCTAGTGCCAACGCTGTGCTGAGGAGGAAATCCCCCAAACAGTGTGGCTATGCTACATGAATGGGATTCTGTGCTTCGTTCATAGCTGTCCGCGCACTGCGCGCCAGAAAAAAAATCAAATTCCTTGCATCCTAGTATTTACACTGAAAACTTACAGCAAATGCTGCATCCATTGCAAATTACAATCCATAGCCCACGGAAACCTTGAAGCGCAGCGTCTCCTTCGTGGTCGTGGTGGTCTCCTGGTGGTCTCCTTGAAACGTGGTGATCTCTTGGTAGTTCTCCTGGTGGTCTCCTGGTGTTTGCTGGTGCTGTGTCGGTGGCCTCTTGGTGGTCTTCTGGTGTTCTCGTCCTGGTCGCAGTGCAACTCGTCTGTGGTCTTCTGATCTCCTGCTTGGTGTTCTCGGGATGGTGGTGGTCTCTTGGCAGTCTCCTGGTGTCGTGGTGGTCTCTTGGTGGTATTTTGGTGGTCTCTGGGCCCTCCAAACTCGTGCTTTCGAGTGCAATGGGTGGGGCCTCCAAACCTCCGCTGACTGCGGAGTTCTGGACACTCCAAACTGTTACGTTCGAGTACAAACGTAGTGCCCGGAATGCTTTGAGCAGGCTCAAGGCCTAGGGCCTCCAAACTGGTGTTTTCGACACGACAGGAATACCGTGCCCGGAATGCTTCCGAAAAGCGGTGCAAACGCTGGGAAAACACAGATGGCAATTGGTTGTGTTGTCTTTCAAAGACAACACAAAGACTTTGTCCAAGCATAGCGAACCACCGCCCGGCGGTCGTGACTTCCTGATTCTAACGGCATGCTTCAGGTATCGTCTTGGACTGTTTGGGGATCTCCGCTGGCAGAATTACTTTATGTATATCCCTGCCCACTGAGAATCGCTCCTGGCCCTTTTGCAAAACATGTGTTCTAAATACATCGGCTTGATGTACATGCAAGCCGTAGTTTCAGAAGCGAGAGTATGCTGCAAGGGTTCCTTCCAAATGCACCTGAGCCCAGGACATGTCTATTTTGCACAGGGAGCCAGCTCGACCGTTGAAGGACAATGTCTAAACCACTTCCCGGGTCAGCGACGGTCACGCACGCGCGCCTTGCTGAGTTTAGTGGCGTGAACGGAAGTGCGGGAAGTGCTCTCGGACGCTGCGGTTCCTGAAGTTTGGAAGGGTCTTGCTGCAACCCGGTGCAGTGCGCTGCAACTGTAGTCGAAACGGCAGAACTCAGCAAGCAGGATTGCCTTTTGGGCTGGCATCCCAGACTTGCCCTCCGTGACCAGCTGCTCCGTGTCCTGTCGGTTAAAAGGCTCGACATTCTTGCTCTCTGGAAATGTGGAAACTACCAACTCATGCTCAAACAGCTGGCATTCCTGGAGACCGCGGCCGAAGCCATTCCAGTACTCGTGCGCCAAGTCCAGGCGACTGGCCGGAGAGTGTTTGTGGACATGGGCCAGTCTTGCGATGTTGCGGAGCAAAGCAAGATAGAGCAAGGCCCTCGGCAGTGCAGCAATCTTGGTCTTTTCGGATCCATCCGTGCGTGCAATTTCAGACCATCACTTGTTTTCGTGTTACGAATGTCCCAAGCCTTCATGCAGGATTGAGCGAGATAAAAGACAATGGCGCAGGTTCATGCAAGTTCAATTTGAACGGCGAAGCAATAAAACTCGTCAAACAGTTGCCCATGTGCCGTGTTGGCTCAAGCCAACATGAACGGCGACCGGCTGATGCTCATGCTGACTTTTTTCATCCTTTTTCTGCGTGTGCTCTAGCTGCAGTTGTTTGTTTTTGCATGCCCGCCAGAGCGATGCTCGTGATGGCCGTGATGCTCTTGCTTCTTGCCGTGTGCACATGGCAGATGCTCGTGATGCCAAAAAGCGTGTGCTCACTGCCGAACGCCGACCGCAAAAACTCTTGATGCTTGCGAGCTTCTTTTTGGAGCACATGGCCGAAAGGGCAATCACAGATGCTTGGTTACAGGCTTTTTGTGTTTTGGAAAATTCTCATGACCACAACATCGGCTGATGCTCGTGATTTACCTATGCTGATGGCCGCAAGGGCCACTGCACATGCTCGTGATGCGTGCCGTTGCCTTTGATATTCTTGTGGCCGAAAGCGCCTTCGGCTGATGCTTGTGATGCTTATCTTTTCTTTTTATATTCACATGGCCGAAAGCGCAAACTGTGGATGCCCTCACCTCTTCTTTATGTGTGCTCATTGCCGAAGGTCCGACCGGCTGATGTTCGTGATGCTTTCGGGTTGTAATCTGCTCACGGCCCAAGGGGCGATAGTCTGCATCTCGTGTTGCTTTGCCTTTGCGTTGTGTATGCTCATGGACGCCAGGGAATGCTAGTGATGCTTCGCCTCGTCTTTGCAAAAGCCCATGGACCAAGCGATACCGGGTCTTTTGTGGCGGGCGCCTGGTGGTATTCACCAGCTCGTCCTCTGTTCGCGCGATGGCACTCCCCTGCACGGCAAAGGGCTATGGGTCGGGGTTCGTTCCTAGTACTGGAGGGTCTGGACCGTGCTTAAATTTCACCGGTCACGCTGCATCAGAACCAGGATTGGAATGAAATGCAAGGGGCGCGGCCACAACAAATGCTACTCAGGAGCCTGGCTGCGGATGTCGGCTTGAGCTGCCTCGGAATAAGCACGAGTATAGATACATATATACATATCTATATATATATATAAGGAGGTACATATGTGTGTGTATACATATAT